GAACACTGATGATGATGAAGTTATAAATAAAGAATATGGTTTGACAATAATTTTGGACCGACCATCTGCTGAGTTGGTTAGCAACTACAAAGATCTCATTAAAAAAGTGAGAAAGGTTGTGAAATTATTCAAAAACTCTCCTGTCAAAAATGATACATATTTACAGAAGTATATCCTACATGAACACGGCAAAAAGCTCAAGTTGATTCTTGATTGTAAAACTAGGTGGAACAGTATGTTCAATATGTTAGAAAGATTTAATAGACTAAAAGTGTGTATTGAAAAAGTCTTAATTGATGTTGGGTCAGAAATTCGTTTGACCCAAGAAGAATGGTCCCAAATTAATGACTTAATTATATGTCTGGCACCACTAAAACTTGGTCTCGAACTATTATGCAGGAGAGAATCGAACCTTGTCACTGCGGAAACAACTTTTAAATTTATGTTAGATAAATTACAAAAGCAATCATCACTTTTGAGGATTGATTTAGCCGCGGCACTTCGTAAGAGGTTTACACAACGTCTTAATAAGAATTTAAATGGACTACTGGTTTACTTACAAAATCCTAAAAAATATGAACAAGAAATTAAAAAATTTGAAAATACTTTTTAAATGCCAAAGAGAACCGTTATGCGTCAAGAAATAAAAAAAATATTGACAAGAGTTTATACAATTGAAAGAAATAAAGACGAAGAAAATGAACTCGAAGAAAAACAAGCTGTAGATTCCATAGTCAATAGAAATCCTGGTCTGGAAAAGCTATTGTTTCAATCTTATTTTAAAACCGTATCTTAAAAAATGCGTAAAAAGTAGTCGCGTGATCAAATCTAGTGCAAAACAAATTTTTAAATAGCGTTTTCTGAAGAACTTTTTACAGGCGAAACGCTTGATTATATAATAAATATTAATGCTGATGATGAATTAAATCCGGATTTGCAAGAATATTTTGATAATGCATTATTAGAGGTAATAATGATGTTTAAATTTTAATTAGAATGGTTTATTTTGGTGTAAAGGTTAATGCAAATGATTAAGTCAAATTAAAAAAACATTTTTAAAAGTTATTGTATCTTAATATTTACTGTTAATAAACGTACTAAAATAATATATACAATAAATGCTATTTTTAATATATATATATTAGGTAACCGATATTGGAGACTTCAAGTGCAAAATTTGCAAATCCAAAACGTATAAAACAAAAGGAGGCTTAGCACGACACAATAAAAACAAACATACCATAAAGAGTCAAACAGATATGCATTATAATGATTTTGTCACAGATATAAAAAAAATTGTTGCAGAAACAGATTTGTCAACAAATAAATTTTATCCTGAAGAAGTTATTTCAGAAATAAAAGACTTTGAAATAAAACTTTTTTGATGAAATAAGAAAAATGTCAAAAAAATTAAAATCATCTGGAAATGCTGAAAAATATTATTCCAACTTTTATAGCAATATTGTTCTCTTTTCAGACACATATTTTAATCTAAAGAAACCTGCATCAACAGTATTTACAACAAAGTTATGCAATAAATTATTTCACTATTTTCAAAGCTCTCTTTCAAAGAATGTTGAAGTTGAAGAAATTTCACCACGTAAAGTGGACGGATTAAAATATTTGTCTGGGTATGTTATAAGAAATCTACTTAAAAAGGCAAAAACAACAAAAAATTACAAAAGCCAGTACAATCAAGCTATAATTGCATTATTACTTCAAACAAATAAAGAAGTTTCAAGTTCAGAAAAGTTAATAAATACCCAAAACAGAGGGGGTTTAACAGCAGTATGTGAAGAATGCTATCAGATTTTCTTGCTAGCTGAGAAACATTTTAGACAAGAAACTGCAGTTGCTAACCTCCGAAATATTGAAAATAAGAATTTAACAAAACACCTATTAAAGGATCCTAATATTATAGGTTTTTACAATGCAATCGTGGATGATGTGAAATTCGTGTCTATTGATAAGGAAATTAAGCTTAACTTGTTAGAAAAAATGAACTCAGAAAAACTTTATTTTAGAGTTCGTACATTTTTATTGGCTAAAAATATAACTGCAAAAAAAAAAATCAAATCAATATATAATCAAAAAAAATCAAAACAATAATGATCAAAGTTTTAAAGTAATTTCTTTAAGAAAAAGTATAAAACGTAAATCAAACAATAAATAAAGACTTAAACTTTAAACTTAATACAAATAATTGATATATTTTGTTATATGCTATGTTTATATTTACATTATATTTATAGGTTTTTTTTTCGTTTTAGTAACTTTTCATTATCAACAACACTCCAAGATGCCTCACATTATTGACCATGACCACCTTTAGTATTTCCAGTAACCGGCGCAATTGATCTTTGCAATCGCAAGGTATTTGACTGGTAACCAAATTGATATAGTGTAGGGTTGTCATTTCTTCAACCTAAACTCCGTTGTCTTCCAAAATATTCCTCCAAAACGTCTTAATTGAATTTTTCAGTCAAAACAAACGGCATACCACTTTTTAATAAAAATTTTACCAATACGATAACAGACATTACAGTTATTTGAAGTCCTTCGTATGTTTGCCTAGAGATAAACATTCTTCTTTTTGCATTGTTGGAAAAGTTACCAGGACGATTAATAATACACTCTTTCCATTTTTCTAGATAGCATAAAAATGTATTCTGTAGCCATGTTAAACGCTTTTCATTAACATCCGTGTATGGTAATAAAAATGGTTTGCGTTTCATTATCTTTTCACTGCTGTTTCGCACATTTAAGCAATCAAAAAAACTATCTAACATTTCACAAAATTTTGCAGTTCCATTTGAAACTTATTTGTTTATTGTACTTAAACTTATCAGAGTTGCCTAAAATTTATGCTTTTGGAATAAAATAACACAGAGTGTAAAAGCAAATTTAAACAACTAAATATATAAAAGTATCCTTACTTGTCAATTCAATATCTTCTGCTAAAAAATGATTCTTACATATATAAATATTGCCCTTTGAGAGACTTTCTTTCAAATCTTTGTCAAAGTCTCTATACTGAGTGATAACAGCTAACAATCTCTGTCTCCATTTTTAATAGAAGTCTCCTGTCCTCATAGGAATTCTGAATAAGGTGATATCTTTGTGCTTAATAGATCTTTAAACTGTACATCCTGGTAGACAACAATTTGAACCTGGCATTTTGGATTTATCTTTTAGACTTTTTTTAAATATAGAATATAAAGAAACATTTTAAATTGAATAAAGTTTTTAAACCATAGACAATAGAAAGGAACCAATATTATTTTAATAATAAAGAAAAATAATAATTTTAATATATTAATTTAAAATAAACATCAAAATCTTTATTAATTCGTAACTTTCATTATAAAAGTTTTGTTTGTTTTGCACTAGATTTGATCACGTGACTTAAAAAAAGGCGAACAATAACATACGACAATAGCTTTTCCAGACCAGGATTTTTATTGACTATGGTAGATTCTATTAACAATTCCAAAATACTTACTCCTACAATTCTATCGTTGAAAAAAGAATTGGAAAATCATATACAGAAAGACAAGAAAAGCTGGACAGAAAATGTGAAGGAGATGCCAAATTTAGATTCTATAGACTTTGATAAGTAATTGAGGCAGTAAATGTCTGCCTATGAAAATAACGGAGTAAGAGGCAAGTTACTAGATATAGCTTAAAATTACTTGATGACCATATCACCAACAAGCGTAGAGGCCGAGCAAGCTTTTTCAGCTGCTGGCTATATATGCAGTCTTTTGAGGAGTAGATTATATAATGATACTTTAAGTAGGGTCTGTTTGTTAAGAGCGCATTTCTTACAATGATACTTTCTCATACTTATTTTTAAAAATAAGTAAAGCTAAAACACGTTTTACGTAATTTTATCTTATCCTTTTGTTCATTAAATTAAGAATTATATTGATTTACAAATGAAAATTGTGTTTTTGGCTTCATTTACTTCATCTTATCAATTTAATAAGTTGAGTATATTTTTTCTGAAATAATTGAAAGAAAAATACAATAACTCATCCGTTTATTCACGGAAACGGAAAGGGAAGGAAAAAAAATCACGTGGGCATGCGCATTATAAGTTTTAATTTGTCCGAAGTAAAACTACGCATGCTCACGTGATTATTTTTCCTTTTCCTATCCCGTTCCCGTAGAAAGACGGATGAGTGGAAACTCACCTTTAGATAAAAAAATCACCGAATATTTGTAAACAAAACAAAACGAGCTTCGTGATTTTTTTTAAAAAGTAAACCAATCAAAACGCACACAAAACAAAACGGCATTTTTTGAAAATGAAAGGCCTAAACGCTATATTTTTCTTAAGGCGAGTTTCCACTCATCCTTTTTTTCACGGGAACGGGAAATGGACGGGAAAAATAATCACGTGGGCATGCGTAATATAAGTTTTTATATGTCCGAAGTAAAACTACGCATGCTCACGTGATTATTTTTCCCTTTCCTATCCCGTTCCCGTGAAAAAACGGATGAGTGGAAACTCACCTTTATGATCTCTCCTTAACTACGCTGAGTCATTCGATGTCGTAATTTTGTTACTTTTTTTTGTTTGTACTTTTGATTTTGTTAGTCTTTACATATTTGAAAACTTTCCCACAACTAATCACTGTATTTGTAGTTTTTTATAACATTAAGTTAAACAAAATTAAAAAAACAAAAACATAAACAAAATTAAAAAACGTAAGATAGATTTTCGTTATAAAATTGCATGTTAAAATTCGTTCAAATGAAGTATTAATTCATGAGTAACGAAGATTATTTTTTTATTAGGAAATTATGTATTTAATATTATAGCTGTATGTATCAATATCTACATAATATCTAGTATTAAAATTTTACATTTTTTTGAAATTTGATTCATAAGATATTGTTTAATCATTAGTGAGATAATATTTGCGACACTTTGGAAAAAATAATTTTAAGTAATAAAAAAAACTTTCTTTATTAAAAACTAAAAAATAACAACATTTCATTCAAATATCGCAATCATCTCAAAGTTACAGTAACAATATTTTAAAGTAACAATTGCAACTATTAAAGTTCAATAACATCGTATCATGTTGACTAGTTTTCAGCTGGCGATTCATACTTTGATTTGATGTGATTCCACAATTTCTAAAAAAAAATAAAAAATGTTGTTAACTATTTTCGGGAAAAAACCATAAAAATGCATTTAATATTTTTTCAATTTGTAATAATTTTAGACAATTAAGTTTTTTTTTCTTCTCCGTTTATATACAAAGAAAAAAAACTTAGATTTAATAATTAAAACACTATGACAAGAAGAATCATGCTCCCTCTCTCTCTTTTTAAATCTCCTTTATTTGTGGATGTCAGTTAATAGAGGGGGAGGGGGTATTTTTTCATGAGAGTTTTTATCTGAGAGTTGGTATATAGTAGTTTTTGACACTGATTATCTGATACCAATGATATTGGTATCAGATAATCAGTGTCAGAAACCATTAATAAAAAATTAAAAAGTCTAACATCAAGAGTTTATTTGGAATCAATAACCAAATAAAGGGAAAAACTGCTGGCTATGAGAGCAAGGATCTCTAATTTACTAATATTTCTCCTAACAGGAGCATAGCATTTACTAGCATTTTTCCTAATAGTAAAAGGTAAATATGAATACTTGTTTACAAAGATTTAATTACAACAGTGTTACTCATCGTTTATGGAGTAACTGTTCAGCTTTATGTAAATAAATATTTGAACAAAATTGCTCAAATTTTTATTCACGTAATTGCTCAAACTTTTCTTTATAATTCACAAAATTGCTCAAATTTTTTAATCTGGTATAGCTGAACCATTACTCCAAAATTGCTGAGTAAAAGCAGTTGCTTTTTTTTATTCACCTGTTCTACAGTTAGTAAAAACATAATTAATTTAAAAACATTAATTATTTGTTTGCTTATATAAATTGTATATGTTATTTCATTATAATATTTCATATTATAAACTATATTATTAAAACATAAATTTTGCTATCTTTTAATAAACAGAAATTTATTAAGTTTATAAGAAACTAAATTTTATTTTAATAAAACTGTATACAGGTTTGCCACTATAATTTTTAAAGTTTTAAAAATATATAATTTTTAAAGTTTAAAGTAAAGAGCATTTTCCAGTTTTCCAGGTTGAGTGGCAACCCTGTGTATAACTTATACGTGATGAAATAAACATCAGAAAAGAAACAAAGGCAGAGCAGTTAGGTTTACACACATAGTCAAGGTTTAAAGAGGTGAGAAAAAAATGTAGAGGGTACTTGTTTGAAGATTGGGATTGTTGTTAGAAGTATTTAGTGATGATGCTTAAATCAATTCTAATTTCAAAAAGTTAAGTGGGACTAAAAAACTTAACTTTTATATTTGAAATATAGAAATGTAAAATGGCAAAAGAAAAAGTAAACATTCAGAGTAAAAAGAAATTAATTGAAAAGGAAATGTTTATTTACCAACATATTATATACCAATTAAAAGGTTTTCAAATTAACAATTTTAGCCAACATATTATATACCAATTAAAAGGTTTTCAAATTAACAATTTTAGAAACAGAGTAATCTATACTTTCTAAAAACTTTAGATATTAGTGAAAGAGAGATTTACTGTAAATTTGATAATGTAATAATTGCAAATTACAAAGAAAGTCCCCAAAGAAACCAAAGAAAGAAAGACAAAATGTAGGAGAATTCCTAATCTAGATAAGATCAGAGAACATATCCATAATTTCTCAACAGAATAAAAAATAATTAATGGAGGCAAAACATTAATAAAAATACTTAGAACTATCATTGAGTACGAAATAACAGGTTGTATATACAAGCCTATCTAGAGTTCAAAATAAAAAAATTTAATTATGAAATCAATTAGGTATCTTCTAAAACAAGTTAGTAAGGGAGTGTGTTGTGATCAATAATTTGAAAACAAAGACTATAAAAAAAAAAAAATAATAATAATAATAAAAAATACTGCAGCAGAGAGAGAGCAACAAATTGATTAGACAAGAAAGCAAAAGTAATACTATAAATGTTGCAAATAAAAAGCATAAAAATTACAGAATTACTTAATTACAGAATTACTAGCATAAAAATTACAGAAATACAAATTACTTTATCTTTTGATTTAGAGAAATTTTTTTTTTTCATTTTTTATTTTTCCTTTTCTTATTGCTAATGTGTATTCTATAAAAAAAAATTAAAATGCTTTATCACAGTGCTCATATATACTTACTAATAAATACACAATTTCTAATAAATACACACTTTAAAATAAATCAATGGCAGATTATATAACTACCTGCCATTGATTTATTAAAAAGTGATATAACTCTAATAGTTAATATAGACAACTTGCAAATTCATTTGCAAGTTGTCTATATTAATTATTAGTGATAACCATTAAAGATTGTCATATACACATAATTTTATGTTGTGTTCCACTGAATAAGAATCTAATTATAGTGATAAATTTTTTAAAATAAATACGGAACAGCACTTTATTATTAAACAGAAGTATTGGGAACCATATTTCAGAGCAGAATATTGTTGCTATGCATCATTTGATTGAAACAAAAATAAGACATTTAAGATTTAAGTCTCCTACCCATAATTCAAATTAATGTTATATATTAAAAAAACATTTCAAATAAAATTAAAAATCATACAAATGTACAAAGAGGACTTCAAAAACTTGCTTCCAAATTTTTATACTTTTAACAAGTGCCTTTTTAAAAAATAAGAAAAAAAAAACAGCTACCTTTTCATATTGTATTTAAACTTTTTAAGATCTTTTATTTGAAAAGAGATTAGGTAAATGTACCACTTAAGTAGAAATAGTGCAACATTTAACTAACACACACACAAATATATATATATATATATATATATATATATATATATATATATATATATATATATATATATATATATATATATATATATATATATATATATACAGTAGCGTTCAAAAGTTTGCGGACAGGCAAAAAAATAAAGAATTTTAATTATATTTCAGCACATACTTTACTAAAGCCAACATATTATATACCAATTAAAAGGTTTTCAAATTAACAATTAGGTTTTGAACAAATAATTATTATCTAAATAATATTTTTAAATTGGTATACAAATCAACGGTCTTTGATAAGTTCAAAAATTTGCGGACAAAGCATTATTTTTTAAAATAGTTAAAATATTTCAACAATATTTGATCAAAATTAATGCAAAAACAAAATCACATTAGTATTTTGTAGGATATCCTTTACAATCAAGAATAGCTTGGCATCTATGAGGCATAGAGTCAACTAAATTAATGCAAACGTCAATGGGAATTAAGTCCCATAATTCTTTGATTTTATTAAATAAATCAGCATAATTTGTAGGCTTAATTCCTTTCATTTGACGGTCAACATGTTCCCATAGATGTTCAATGGGAATTAAGTCAAGATTTTATTGATACAATTAACAAACATTAGCAATAAGAATAGCATTTCGCTTCTGATTCTTCTGAGTAATTTTAAAATTACTCAGAAGAATCATTAAAAACAATAAAAATTGTTATTGTTTGTATTATATATTGTATATACTTTGTTTGTATTATATATTGTAATACAAAGTATGTAATTTTAAAGTATTTAATTAAGCTTGAACTAAAATCAGTTTTTTAATAGCCCTAGTTCTTACCTCTCCCCCTTCTTCCCCTTCCCTGTCCATTTACTTTTTTAAATGCACATTTTTGCCCAGAACTTAGAAAAAAAACGTGTCTGATGCATGAGGTGTCTATATACACAAAGAATTCAACATACACATTTAAAAGCTGTGACATAAAAGACAAGCAAATTCTTAAGTATTCTTTTTATATCTTTATTTTATAATATAAAATTTATAATTTCTTATTTATTTGTTGTGCCAAAACTTATGGAAACCTTAGTTTTGAAAATTGTATTTGAATAAATCTTTTTAGATAGTAATTATAAATGGCAAGTGCATTGTTAGATCTAACTCAATGTTGCATTGGAAAAGCATTAAATAAAGATTGTCATGAATTAAAATTTACCAAAATCAAAAAAATTAAAGGTTTTGAGGAATTAACAGAAAAAGATCAAGAACTTGTGCTTTTGCAATGTAAAGTAAATCATATTCAAACTATTTGTAATCACCATGAAAAGGTCTACTTGGAGAGATTTGAGACTTTGTATGACGGAAGCTTTTGTTGCGATCCATTTAACAAACACAAAGTTAAATTAAAAAGTATTTAAAAATAAATTGACTTAATTAACTTTTTAAAAGATAATGGCTTTTTTAATGTTTTATCATTTTGTTACTTTCTAGAATCTACCATAGTAATCAGCTTGGATGTTGCGAAGGAGTTTGATTTAATACCTATTTATAAACTTTGTACAGAATGTCAAAAAATGTTGTGTTTAAAAAATAACAAAGAAGATTACGGAAGCAATTTATGTCAACATCAGGCCTTGCGATAAAGCGTCGGGCGATGTGAATTTTACGTCGTCCAAGGGCGATTTTGCGTGTAGCTAGGGCTATTTGCGTCGAGCAAAAAATTTTTTGTTTGAGTATATTTAAAGATATTTTTGAGCGGAATTTTAATGAAGTAATTGACGATTATTTTAACATTTAATCAAGTATTTTAAAAACCGCATGCAGTTGAAATAAAAGTTTGAATTTGAAAAAATTAAATATGCTCATTATTTTCAAGTAGAAAAAATTCAAAAATTAAAAAAAAAAGTTTAAATCTTTTAAGCTAACATTTTAATAAAATTATTCAGCAATAGCAACGTTGTCGATAAAATTGAACAAAAATACTTTCTTTTAGTTTTAGATTTTAAACTTAAATAATTATTTTACAGGGGTTTGATAGGTTTTAAAATTATTCCATAGATTTAAAAATATTTATTAACTGTTAGACGTATTTAAAGTATTTAAGAGTGATTTCGAGGAAACATTTTAAAAATTGGTGAGGGCAAATAAAAAAAAAAAAAGAATAATATTAAAACGTATTCTACTTGATTCAATGAAAAAGTACAGTTATTAAAATTTTTGTAAAAAGAACTCAAAAAAATTACTTAAATAATAACGATCGCTTTTATGTTAAAA